GTGATATTTAATGGATCGGATTACATTTTTTATTTTTCTCCGATATCCGATCCAGTAATTTAGGTCAGTATCGGACCGATACCGATACGTAATATCGGATCGGTCCATCTCTATTTTATAGAGCAGCAAAACCCATCTCAGACTGTTGGTTTCTAATTCCTGTCTACTCTGTGGATGCCAAACACCTCCAACCACACAGTGTCTGCTGTATATTGCCAGAAGGCCTGCATCACTAGCTAAACATTTATATATACAGGTTCATATATGTTCATATGTACAGGTGCAAAACTGTAAACTGATTGTAAAATCATTTTGAACCAAACAATTTCCAGGATGTAGTTTCCTGTTGGAAAAAACAGGTTTGGTCTGAGTCAGAGGACAGCAGAAGCTGAACAGTTTGCTTTTATCCTCCCGTGTTAAGCCTCTCCTTTTCCATGTTTCTGTGTCTCTTCAGTTCACCAGGAACTAAAATAGCCTGGTTTTCTATACAGAGAGAAAAAATAATGAGGATTGGGGACAAAAACACTAAAACAACAACAACAAAAAAGGAAGAACCGGACTTCCACTGCTTCTAAGTATCGTCTATAATGACGTGAGACAAAAGGCAGTTGGAAGTGACTTGAGTTAAATTTAAAAGAATATACCAAAGACCTATTGCTTTCAATCCCACACAGGCACACAGCACAGAACAGCTGTTTTACAGCTCTCTGATGAAACACTTTGGCTTTAATGAAACATCTTTACCTTCGTAAACTATTATTTCTTCTCTGCAGGTTGTAAAACTCCCAAAAACACTTTAATGAAACCCGATCTAGTTTTGTTGGGGTAATAACATTTTTTACAAAGTGATGATTTGACCTTTTCACACATTGCTGCCCAGAGACAGCTAGCTTCCACATCTCACTTTAAACCTACATTTCTACTAATAGCCACCAGGGGGCATGTCGGTCTTATTGGCTCTCTCCATCTTTTTATACAGCCTATGTTGCGGATCTGTTCTGCTATTATGTTTTAATATTTTTATTTCAATAGATCCTACTTATTAAGCTTCTCACTGAAACGTATTTAGATGTGATTTTTCTCCATCCATCCATCCATC